CAAATGGGAATCGAGTTCCTCAGACGAGACCGTGCAACTCGGTGACCCCTATCAGTATTTGGATGCAGTCCAAGTCGAGCAACGAAACCGACGTCGTCATTACCGAACTTAGCAATAATATATATATATATATATATATATATATATATATATTATAGTGATATATATATATATGTGTCACTAAATGAATATTAATGCCTTTACTACGTTTGATGCAGTTCTCTTTAAGGCTCGATGACTCCTTCCACCAAATATGATGACTATCTCTTATTCTCTTCGAGTATCAACCTCTACTTGATCTTCTTTATATATTGTTATTTGTTTACATCCAAATATAATTAGATATCGTGCTATCATTAGGCATATTAGCGTGTTTAGAGAACATTCAAAGATGTTGGACATTTGCGAAATATTAATGGTAGACTTTAGACAAGGAACAAATTCAACGACGAAAAAATATTTTCTTTGCGTTGTTATGTTAATGACCGGATTTGTTCAAAGGAAAAATTTAATCTTTTCATTGACAATTATGTATAGATTTTAATTCTCGAAAGTAAGAAACGATATATATATATATATATATATATATATATATATATATATAAATTTGTTTTTTTTCTCTGTCTTTTTAGAAATTGTATAAAACTTTTGGAAAGATAAATCGTTCGTTAGGGAAAAAGGATGATCGAAGAAACTCTCGCGTGGCGACGACTCTGAGACACCACGTCGTGCCTGTCTAGTCGAGCCGCTTAGATCCTAATTTTACGCCGTCAGGTTACTGGACCTTACGTAACTACGAATCCGCGAGTGCTAAGATTAGGCGCCTATGCAGACCCAGAATCGTGGATTTGGTTACAACGAGTGTTCCATCACTGAGATGTATTATCTTTTCTTTTTTAATTTTTCCTCCTGTCTCTTTCTTTTTCTCACTTTCGAATCTAGTGTCTCTCGTAAAAATAACATATATCTGTGTTATACCTGTGTTATATCTGTTTTCATATGAAAGAGAACATTTTTGCTATTGAACATTTTCACCAAGTGACAAATATCAGTCATACATTATTTTACTATTTCAATCGAAAGGAGTATACATGAACGATATATTGATCATAGTTATAATAGTAGGTTTTAGAAACTTATAAAACATTTGTATTTATAACATTTATTTATTTTTTTTATTTATGCATAAGATTATAATCATTGTACAAAATTAATCCTTACATCAATATAATTAAGATATATGGATATGGTTTGTCAGATCATTTGAATTAATTTTGATTGATGACTATTGACAATAATGATGACATTTGAAAATAATCTTTAGCATTCCTGCAGAGTGACAAAACGGAAGAGCAAAAGAGTTGTAAATAGAACTAAAACTTAGAGCATAGTCGGCCGGGATCTATCGCTGATCGTTCGTCTTCTAACGTCTTTTTTCGTTGTCATGTCTTTTTAAATGAGGTCGACAACACGGTGATGCTGATCATTGCATATCATTAGTGACATTTTTTCTTCTCATTCTTTTTTCGTATGCCAGAGACCAAAATACTAGTTCGCTCAAAGATGTACCGTCGTGACTGAGGTAATTAACCGTTCCGAAAATAGCTGATTGTCACGAACGTATGAGAACGTTTAACGATTTTACCTTACTACCTACCTACCTACGTTACTACCTAATTTTCTCAGTTAAATTTGCTTCGTCGAGGAAGTGATTTAACCTAGTCACGAATCGTTTGTGAATTGTTCATGATTCAGACGAGGTAGGAGGAAAATAATAGGAATTATCATTGACTTCTCTGCAAATTCATACGTTTTCGTAATTTTGTCAGATTTTATATTTAAACGTTCTATATTTACATAAATATATATACATGTAACTTTGATATATTTGAGATAATAATCAAAAGCAAAGTAGGACGTTAAACTGAGAATAAAAAAACCGATGGGAAATTAATATTAAAAAAAAAAAAAAAAAAAAAAAAAAAAAAAAAAAAAAAAAAAAAAAAAAAAAATAACGCATTAGAAAGAAAGCAAAATGGGAAAGGGGTTAATCCCAACTTATGGGATTAAAATCGTAAATAAATCCAATAAGATTTAACAATAATGATCTTTGTCAAACATGAGAGAGAGCTCTTACGGATCTTCCTCGCGTAAAACTGCGGAAGTGAAAAATACTCCGGGTAGAGACGGTGTCGGATACTCGGTCGAGTCCTGAAAATCTCGTTCACTTTATTGCGGACTCCTACTGTCTCTTTCTATCTATCGCATCTTTACCCTGCCGCAGCAGCTTCTTCCGTCTCTGTCTGACCTTAACGAGTCAGTCCACGACACTCGGGCTAAATATGGAACCGGCAGAGAGCACACTGGTTATTTTCAGATACAGAGATCTTCTGTAGCATTACCTAGCTACGTGCGGCTACTGTCGCGTCTCCCAACTTGTACTCTCCTCTCTTTCTTCTTCTCTTATTCGAGCGAACGGTGTACACGCCCCTTAGCAATCAATTTTTGGCGTTACGCGTCAATGACATTTTATTTATTCGATGTTTGATAAGTAACGAAAAGGAAAGAAAGAATAAGCTTATGTAATATTTGCACTTTTTTTATCATGCTCCCCCTACCTCTATACTGACGAAAATTCATAGACGATCTTTAAACACAGATAAGAGTTTTCATTTTTAATGACTTTTACGCGCCGTAAATAATACCATTACTCTTGACTTTTTTTTTTTTTTACTTATAGCAGACATATGTGATCGCTTTTGGCGATCACACCATTATTGATATAAAAAGTAAGAATCCATTATTAATCAAGATTTCTTTTTACTATCCATACTTTAACGAATACCCCGACAACTGTGTAAACAAGTCTTAAGTAAGAGGACAAATTAATGGCAATATTGAAAGAATCGATAATACATAGATCGTTAATTTACTATGTACATTATTTCAAATGTAGCAGATGAAAAGTTTCGATATTGATTTGCGATAACAATTGCATAGTGTGTGAAACCATGATATTTATAAGAAATTTCTATTTTCGTCATTGCTCATAATCGATCACTGTTGTATATCATTTAATTATACACATTGAGCCTTGAATTTCTCAATATTGATATAAACACTTATTAAAAAAAAAGGCGAAAGTCTAAATCGTCGAGAATATATATATGTATATATTTGTAATGCTGTTTATAACGATCAAAAAGGAAAGAGAAGAATAATTAATGAGTTCATTAATTAAGGGCAAGGAAGGAAATAATCATAAAGCTTTCACGAGACATCGTTATTGGACGATACATGTGGATACACTCCGGCAATTTTGTTGATCTCTTCGATATCGCACCTCTCTGTGTGTATGTCTGCGTATGGATATGTACTTGTGTTCATGTTTGCATGCTTCGATCGGTATAAAATGAAAGAAGGAACGGTTCGAAGTGCAAAGATTGACGAAAGAGAAGTGGATAACGACTACGACAACGAATGGAAGAAGTCTTTCTGGACGATCTTAAGCGAGTTAAAGTAGGGGCTTCGTTAGAGAAGAAGGTCCCACGTGCTATTCAAGGTCCTCTTCTTCTTCGATTCTTGCTCGTCTCACCTTACCTCTTCTTCTTTCTTTACTGTTGTCTGTCTCTACTCGCGTGTTCTTGACTTTACGTAAGCAGAAGGAAGAAGAAGAAGAAGAGGAAGAAGAAGAAAGAGGCCGGCCTCATTGAATTTACCGGCACGATACTTCGTTTTCTTCGAAAGAACATGCCGAGGCACGTAAACCGGTATTCGAGCCTTTATCTCCATCTCTTTCTAACTCCCCCCCGCTCTCTTCTTCTCTCTTTATCTCTATCTCTATCTCTGTTCTAAAGCAACGCTGAATGTACCGTTGGATTGCTGGTGTACACGAAACTTTAAATGTCCTAGCTACACACGAGCGCGCCCTTGAAAGAGAGTTGGAGTCCTTCGATAGTCCCTATATTCATCACCTCATTCTTTAATGTATCTTATTTTATAAATATAAAAATAAATATTGTTTATTGTACTTTTCTTGATATTCTATTCTTTTCTTCTTTACCTTTTGCTTTATTTTTTCTTTTTCTTTTTTTCTCTTTTTCCTTTTTTTCTTTTTTTCATTTAATTCGCGTTAACAGACAGAGATCGATAAACATTCGAGACGTCAGTATATTTTATTGGTCTGTCGCCGATACGATGCAATTTTCCTCAATCATTTCTTAATTATCATCTGGTCGTCGTGTAATATCAATCGTTGGCAATTAGATGTGAAGTTTTCTTTTTTTCAATGTTCATATTTACATGAATGTTTCAAGGGAGTTGATGTTATTATTCATTTTTATTCTAAAGGAATAAGAAGTAGATAATATTAAAATGATAATGGTAACATAACTCCTTAACCTTCTTTCTATATATATACATAATAGTATTTAATAATAACTGTTACGTTCTTATGCAGTTTTCATGTTTTTTTTCCAGCAGATTTTTAACTTCTTTTTATAAAAAATTTAAGTTCTTTTTATAAAAATTAACTGCTTTTTATAAAACAGTAATAAAATAAGCTTATGAAATGTGACTCGATATCAACCATCATGTTTATTTATCAAAATTTCATTTATTTGTTTTCTTTCTTTCTTTCTTTTTTTTTCAAAATTGAATTTCTAATAAGAAAAAATAATTTATCTTATTTACATACAATAAATGCCAAAGGTATTCGTATACTCATTATAGCTGTTTATAAACATATTTTTTCTTTTTTTTATTTTATTTTATTTTATTTTATTTTACCTTTCTTTTTATAAAGCAATAAAATAAACCATATGAATTAAATAATAATTCGTAATAAAGTATAAATAATTCAATAAATCTGGTATAATCGATACATATTTTCAAAACAAATATATCATAAGTAAAGTATTTAAACTATATTAAGTATTTATAATATTTATGTTATTTCCTAAATCAAATTGAAGAAAGTATTATTGTTTATGTTTTTATAGCGAGAGAGCGATTTCCATCGTCGAGCAGCACCGATGACGATCAAAGTGGGTCGGATGCTGAGCACGATACATCAACAATACGCGGGAAGGTCCATTCTGGGATTCTTCATCACTCCACCGCGCATTCTGTCAGGAAACGTCGTGGTAATCTACCGAAGCATTCGGTGAAGATTCTCAAACGATGGCTGTATGAGCATAGATACAACGCTTATCCAAGCGACAGCGAGAAATTAACTCTCAGCCAGGAGGCGAATCTCACCGTATTACAGGTTATTATTATTATTATTATTATTATTATTATTATTATTATTATTATTATTATTATATAATAAATATCATATTATATAATATATATTATGTAATATATATTTTTTTAAGCTTAATCATTTTTTATATTTTAATCAAATTAAAAATATTGCAATTATTATTTATAAATAATATCGTTCCTTACGTTTTGTTTTATTTTTAATTTCGATTACGATGTTATAATATTACTCATTAATATTATTAGATCATTAATATATTAGTAAATTATTTCATTCAAATTTAATAAAATATTAATATAAAGCACTTTCTAATATATTATAGTATAATCATATAACTGATAATGATACATTTTTATAAAAAACTTTTTGAAAAGTAAAAATATTTTTCGGACAATTTAATTTAAATGTGTGTAGTATTATGTGGATAGTATAGTATATATTTGAAAATATGAAGTATTTACTCTGAATACAATTCCGGGGTAAATGATAAGCATCAAATGAAAATAAAGCATTGGATTCTTAGTCACCACTAACAGCCAATAACATTTATTGTAGGAAGATAATAATATTTTTGAAACATGTTGACCCTAACAACATTATGCCCCTCCTATCCTTTATTACCTAGGCTTAACCTAGCAGCTAGGTTATACTTTTAATATCTAACTTAACTATAACCTTTATGATCCTTAATAATAGTTAAACTGTTATTCTCTGATCTGAGTTTCTACTTCAAATTTTTTTCTTTTCAAATTTTTAATCTTGGCCTACGATAAATCAATTGGCATCATAAAACAGTTGTTTTAACAATTTCTTGCACTTTGTTCCTTAAACTACTAAAATCCACTACCCTAGACCACTCCCCTTCTTTCTAATTGGTTGTTGCCTTCTGTCATATATAACCGAAGAAATTCTGATATTCTGTTATTTAAGATTCAGATCTTGAGCACTTCAGACATAAAGTTATTGCAAAGTGATATTCTTACTTTGAAAACTTTCTACAATTAAACGTCTATTAGCTCAGTGCGATTCGACTTATTGACACGTTCGATTTTCAACAAATTAAACATACGTCTGCGGAATCTAACATAACAGGCGAATACTCGGTATTTGACAGGTGTGTAATTGGTTCATCAACGCAAGGCGAAGAATTTTACCGGAGATGATCCGCAGAGAAGGACATGATCCTCTTCAATACACTATATCACGTCGTGGTAAAAAAATGCCAGGTGGAAGTCATCAACAACCATCGATTAATCAAAGGAGCAACCAAAACTGGGATCCTCTGGCCGAATGCAGTGCGCCGAAACGTAGAAGAGATCACGATTATGGAGAAGCAACTGGCCTGATGTATCGGTGAGTGAATTTTAATATCTTTTTTTTTTTAAATCATTTTTAGACTTGATTAGGTACATCCTTTTCTCCACTTTGACCTTCCAATCACTTTGCGTTCCGTTTGTTTACGTTACAAGATATTCAAATCTAAAATTCTTAGCCAAAGACGAAACATCCTCGCCACATGTGTGCACTTTTATTGTAGTCCATTCGAAATATCATTTTTTCCTGTGATCATTACATTCTCATCACTATTATAAATATATTTATCTTCTTTAAAAAGGAAAACCACTTATAACATTTAAAAATATTGAATATATATGTATATATATATTTTGTTTATTTATTGTTCTTGTATGTTTTTCAATTTAAAGTTTTGAAAATTTTTTTTCTTATTAGATTGAAATTCAAATTATTGACGATGTTGTAACAATTTTTATAAAATAATCGTTAAACTTTAAATATGAATTTTCTTAAAATGATATTTTACTCAAAATAATATTTTTCTCGAAATGATATTTTTCTCAATGAGTATTTATCCGAATGAATTTTTATTGAATTTATTTGAAATTTATATAAAATATTTCAAACAAGATTATTATTAAAATTCTTTCATACCTTTTAACTTCCTATAGAATAGGAGAAATCACATAGTATATTTTTTTTTTAACCATTTAAACGTCTTTTTCTTGTACATGTGCAATTTCCATACGATAATATCTATTTAATATTCTGATTAAAATCATTGAACGACATTAAAACTTGGATTATGTAAGATAATCGGAAATTGTGAAGACAGGCGCCACGTTTTGTTACGATTATCTCGAGATTTCATGTTTGGATATTGTGTCATATTAGTAGGTGGGATATAAAACATCAATTAGCCAATTATTCAGGAAGTATTTACATCATCAAATTTCTCATTACTTAAAGAAGGAAATTATCAATATCACGCGTTTTATTTTTTACATACGTATATTCGACGGTTAAATTATTAATGCTTCTCGCTTTTGTTGTTTTTTATATTTCCACTACGTTTGTATATATTTATGTAGTAACGTATGCGTATATATGTAATCCTTTGATTGTACGTTTCACAGAAGTGAAGAGGATAGTCCGAACGACTATGAAAGCAGTTCGCATAGCGAGGAAGAACGTCCTGCTACTCAGTGGCCAAGCGTAATTGTTTATCCGTATTCGGAAACCAAAGTAGAGAAAAATGATCAACCTAACTACGGAGACGCGATAGCCCATCCAGCTCGACGAGGGTAAGCAACGAAATCGATCGTTAGCCCCTATAAATCTCCTCGCATTACGACTAATCCCTATTCAACAATCATTTAATGTGTGATCTTACTTATTAGTTTATATCTCGCTTTGTTCTCTCTAAATTTTCTTGAAACAAATTTTTATACCCGAAAAAAAGTGTCTACATGAGCGTGAGATCATTTCAAACATCTATTTCAATTCGTGATCCTTGATACGTTGATATCTATATCGATGAAATGCAACAGTTTTGCATGTGCATTTTAAGTCGGAAATGTTAAAAAAAAATGTATACCCTATTTTTCTAACGGAACAAACGAATAAAATTATTGTTAAATCTGAGATTGATAAAACTTTGGAATGATTTGATTATAGTTTTTGTTTTTCTTTTCTTTTCCCTTCAATCGATAGGGACGAGGAAGATTCGTCGATAGTAAGCGAAGCTGCATACTGGAGTGCACCAAGGCAACATTTGACGACAACTCCAGACGTGCAACACGAGACAGAAGTTTATAGTAGTACGCACAACGCTCACAATCCTCGCAGCGATGAAACACCACCACCGACGCCCCCGGAAGAGGACAAGGACAAGTTCAAGTGTCTGTACCTGCTCGTCGAGGCTGCTGTTGCAGTACGGCAGCAGGAAGAGAAGGAACGCGAGAGTGCTGTTTCTGTTTAACAGTTTAACTTATCGCGAAAGAACAGAGCCACGATGAAGTTCCTGGTGCTTTTTGGATTACGCTTTCCTTTTATTTTTCTCACAAGTGAACAAGAGATAGGAAAAAACAACGTGTTTCACATAGAGATAAAGATAAAGCGATGAAAAAATGGTGGCCATAATGATAATATAATTTTTGTTCAAGACATTTCGTTTTTGAGATCCGCTTGTCGATGTAGCAACCAACGGCGGTTAATTCATTAGAATTGATTAACTCCATTCATTATTTGCTCCAAAGACATGCGAATCAACCATCCGACAAAACGGAGCTTTAATTGTTCCGTTCTTCATTATTAACGCGATTTTTTGATTTAAGGAAACTAGTTTTCGTTTCATATTGACGATCCAACGCATTGCTGTACTTTGAGATATTTTGAGCAAAAGTGTTACGCATTTTCATGCGTTCTTTTTGTGTCATTGACGTAAAGAGGTTGGATAACGTTCGATCTCTTTCTTTTTCTTTTTTCTTCTTTTTTTCTCATTTTTTTTTTCCTTTTTTCTTTCTTTTTTCTTTCATTTTTCTTCCCCCTGCCCTTTTGTTCTTTCTTTCTTTCTTTTATTCTTTTTCATATATTAAGTCGCGCTTAAAGGTCCATCGCTACGAATTGCACCGGGAAGTGGCGAAATATCTAATGTTTCTTATATCATGAACGGTAATCCTCGTTTGTAGCAGCGACTATTGTAGATATAATGGATAATAAGAAACGATAGTAGGGGGTTTAAAGTATTTAGAAATATATCGTACGTACGGATTAAAAGGAACGAGTGGACTTTAGAAAAAATCGCCTTTAGAATTGTAAGGTCTGTGCTTTGATTTTCGCACATATGATTATTTGTTCTTATTAAAAGAGAGGAAAGATAACGTAATGATCCGAAATTATGTTCATACATTATTTTTTGTCGAATAGAAGTATATGTATGAAGTACAGTTCATATATAATATTTCAATATGTATGTATATATGATAGAAAACAACGCGAAGATATTGACGGAATAAACAATACCGACTCGTGTAATTTTCGCGTTAAACGACAACCAGCTAGCTGCCAATATATGGACAAATTATCTATTCGTTAAAGTTGCATATTACATTGTGTAAGAACACCCGAGAACGTAGAAAGAAAAAAACAACGTTTCGCCATTTTCCAGATCGTATCGGTGTGTCCTGGTTGTGCATTTATCCTGTTTTGCACGAGTATCGGTTAATAAGTTTATACGAGTAGAAAAGTGTTAACGAACGATTTGACAACGTAAAGATGAGTTATATAGATTTACGTCCAAATCTACAAGTTCACGATATATTATCTTTATTTTCTTTTTCTTTTTTTTTTCCCCTTTTCATTTCTTTTTTTCTTTTCTTATTTTTTTGTAGAAATTACTAGAGTTATATTGTGTTTAAGAACTGATTCACATGGCGAGCGAATTGATTGATTTATTACGATATTCTTACAGTAAAATGTCCCATTTGTTGCCTCCAGCAACAAATTTTAGTGAATCTATTACGACTATCGTTTCTCTATGCTTACATGAATTGTAAAATGAAGTTAAATGAAGTTAAAAGAAAATGTAGGGAAGTGAAAGATTCTACAGAATTAAAATATACGACACGTATATTTTATACGGTGCCAAAAACGAAGAGAGAGAGGAGAGAGAGAGAGAGAGAGAGAGAGAGAGAGAGAGAGAGAGAGAGAAAGAAAAGAAAAGAAAAATAAGCGCGAAGGACAATGACGATTAAGGAAAATTTGTGCACACTTTCCGACACTTTGTACTAAGTAAAACGAAATTCCGCGAAAAACAAAAAGGTAAAAAAAAAGAATAAATAAATAAAAAGACAAACGCGAAACACATCACAAATGTGCCTTCTTCAGTGACTGTTTAAAAAAGCGACGATTAACTTAAAAATGAATGGTAGTAGACTTTGGAAAAGCAACGATCTCATTCGACTTTTAAAAGAATTTAATAGTCGCCAATTAACTCACGTCTCCTCTATACATATATGTCGGTTATTATACGTAATTAACAAACAAACAAAAAAAATAAGAGAAAGAAAAATAGTTAACTTGATTCATCGTTCTGAGCTTTATTCAACTTTTAAAGCCAGCGTTCCTCGCAGTTTTATATATACATATATATACACAAGCCTACGTTATACAGAAAACATACAGTTACATACGCGTTCATATATTTATACGTAAGAGCGTAACGTACGAGGTAGACAGTCAAAATTAATTCGTGTTATTAGAATAATTGAAACAAAACAACAAAAATGAAAATAAGCGCACTCTCGAGTTTGACAAAAGTTATTTAGAGTGTCAAGGCAAACACTTAGAATTACAATTAAAAATAACAACGAGGATTATGAACTCACAATTTTAAATGGCTCGATTCTCATCTGTAAATTATTTTGACTATTGTTTAACATTTATACGATTTCTAAGCCTCATCGATCACAGTCTAATGTTAGATTTTTCATTAAAAATCTCTTATTCACATTATGTTTTAAGTTCGTAGAGATTCTAAGAACCTCTTTCAGTTTATCTTCTTTTGTGTATCTTCCGTTATTAATCTTGAATTTTTATTTTCTAGTTGTAAACAAGAATGTTCCCATCGTCAAAAGAATTTTCTTATTTTCGTGTTCCCATAGAACATACAACACAGCAATATTAGAATTTAAGTGAAATTTTTGAAGGAGAATCGGGCAAAAAAAAATTGTGTTTAAAAGCATTGGAAAGCCTCAGGCATATCGTATCTCATTATTAGATTTTTATTTTCGTATTTAAGCAATCGACTCGATTATACGTATACAATACAAACACACACATATTATACATATATAATATAACTACATACAAAACGCAACATATAGTGTTTAAACGGCCTTTTTGCTCCTAAATTTCGATTGGTGGAGCACATCTTGTTAAGAAAATTTTGTATCATGATATACGGAACGCTATTCTCACGAGTTTTACTCGCGTCCCTATTGCTAACTGACTAGTAACAATCTAGTAATCTGACAAATAACAATCTCTTTTGTAACCGATAATAAAAAAAAAATAAAAAAACAACGTGTACTCAATAGAAGTATATCAAATTTTAAAATAATATAGTTTGAATATGGTCTGGTCTGTATCTTTGTGTGGAAATATTAGAAGAATATATAAAAAGAAGAGTAAAAAAAAGCGAAATTCTTCTATTTCGGCATTCACGGAAATTCTCTTTACAAACACAACCGTACAAATTAAACAATAATAAGCTTCGAAAAAGCGCGACTGCAAGCAAATTAATGCTATTAATTGCTCTAAGAAAATTCCTGCATAAGAAAAAAAAAGATATTTAATTTGAAACGCACGATATCCTATGTTTTCATGGGCTCGTAAGATTTCTTTTGAAATATCATCGAATCGTATATTTTTCACATCAATCTTTTTTTATAGTACAATTTTACTTTCTTATATTTAAAAGTATTTCGGATAAACATTTACAGATACACATAAACACACATACATTCTAGATAAACTATGCAGCGCGGGAAAGATTGGTACAAACACCAAAGACTTACTTAATTTTTAATATTTAATGATAACAAAAATTGTCGATATAAACATCGATGCGTTTTTGACAAAACGCGAATAAAGAAAGGAGAAGAAGTAGAGGAATAATAAAAAGGAGGAGAAGAAATTTAATCACAAGATGTCAATGTCCAAGCATGAAAAGTAAATTTGTTCGGGTTACATTATACAATGAGTACGAAACTGTCTGAAAGAAGCATATCTCGGTATATAAAAAATGCTTGGACATCGTAATAAGATGATTTTTATACACTATCAGGAATGGGAGAACGAAAAAGTAGCGTTCGAAGATGAAGAATTGTTCAATGTACAAATCGCAAGTTAAATTTATTTTATAATCGCGTGTATCCTTTCGCAATCCTTAGAATCAGTATAAAGGTAGCCTGTAAATATAATTAAAATTAGTTTCGCAGTAGATTATAAAAATGAAAAGAGAAAAGAGAGAGAGAGAGAGAGAGAGAGAGAGAGAGAGAGAGAGAGAGAGAGAGAGAGAGAGAGAGCGAAAGAGAGAAAGAAAGAGAGAGAGAAAGAGAAAGAGTACTAGAAAGGCACACACATACGTACGTACATATATATATATACATATATTAAGATTGAAAGGTGTAGTCGTTAGATTGTTACGAGATTCTATCGATGATTCTCCCGATAAAATTCTCTTTTTCTCTATATTCTTATGATCCTGTTTGATTGACAGGAAAGAATTGATCAGAGGGAAAATTAAAAGGAAAATCATCGATGCGGAAACATACTAAGCGAATTTTATAAAGTATCAATCGACGCCATTCAACCCTTTATGACCCAAAATTTTTTTTTTTCATCCTTTCGTCTAAATCTTAGCTACGCACCATGATAAATCTTAGCCTCACTAATCTACGCTTTTTCGTACACTGATTAAAGAGAAAAATAGACGGAGAGATGCATATGTATGTGTATATATATATATATATATATATATATATATATATATATATTTTTTTTTTTTCTTGTTATTATATACAAATACTGTGATCACATTGAATTAATAACGAGATTATAAAAAATTGTTGCTGGTGGAACTTTCACACCCCTTGAGAGCGTAGTTTTATAAAGGGTTGAAGGCTTGACGAGAGAAGAATCCCCTGTTGTAAATATCCTCTACTCCCCCCTTGCTTTTGCGATTACCAAGATGATCAAGCAAGCATCTACGCGAGCGTCATTATTGGTAATTTGTATTATGATCTTCAATTACTTTTGCTGGCATTATAATATCTAAGCATTACAGATAAAAAGAAGTCCAATTTTTTTGTACAAAGTGATACATTAACCACGAACCTTTGATCTTTTCGAAATGAACAGATCGCGTTCGAGAACAAGAGAATCATAGTACTTAAAGGTTCAATGGCGATTATCCAAAGCAGGATAAAACTTTACTCGCGATATTTTTTAAGCAATTCGCGACGTTTAATATTTCTCGGATTTGTCCTATGATACTTCTTTTTTTTCCAGCTCTGAGAACGCATCGCGTTGTGTGCATCTCGATGAGTTTTGAGCTTTTGTATTGTACGAAAATAGTGCGATATTTTTCTTATTGCAAGAAGAAAAGACAAGATAGAGAGAGAAAGAAGAAATGCGTTGATACAGAGAGAAATTACTCGTTATTAGGTACATTAGGCTGTTAATCGTTAAAAAAGAATGCAAAGAAAATTTACATTACCTTGTTGACTACTAATAATCATTGAGAAGATAAAGAGGGAGAGAAAAATATTTGTGGAAACTGTATAAAGCTAGACACTACGTCTTTGAATCTGAATGCATGGAACGAGAAAAGAATTTTTTTTTATTTACGTGACGAGTGAGAGGAGAGAGAGAGAGAGAAAGTAGTAATATTAGTAGTAGTAATAATAGTAATAGTAGTAGTAGTAGTAGTAATAGTATGTCGAGACGAGAACACAACTCAAATGCATCCCCCTATTTTCTTCTACTACCCCGAAAAAGATCGCTCACTGCCATAAACAATAAATAATAATAGCGATGCTAGAAATAATATCACAATGCCTTTTCAAGTATCATCGTATTCTTTTTCTTTCGAGTTCCAGTTCGCGGCCGAATCGTAAAAGACATCGCGTATGTGAGTCGCGTTTCTTTGAGCTTCCATATTAACAAGCGAAATTTGACAGTCTTTTTCGATGGAGAAACGCGTCGCCTCTATTTTTCTTTCTCTTCGAGAGACGACAAAAGAATTTGAAGGATTTCTTGAGAAGCGTTGAAAAGGACACGTTCATTTTTAAATTCGCAGCTTATCCTTTTAGAGATAAGAATTGAAAAAATGACGCGTTTTTTCATTATTACAACGAGAAGATTGTACGAGTAAACTTTCAAACCAGTTGAATGGATTAAAAAAGACGAATTATTTATTGTATTATCGTCTCTCATTAATTTCTCCAAAAATGTTTGGAGAAGGAAAGTATGCATATATTTAAGATGTTACTACCACAATCTTTGCGTCTAACGCGCAATCAGAAAAGTAATAACGGATAACGGTCGCCAAAAAAAATTAAATTAAAAGAAAAAAAAGATGAGCGCTAGAAAGGAACCGGTGTATTCTTCGGCTGATTCTCCACGAAAACAAGTCTCTCCGGTCCCTTTGATCGAAAGCCGCGAATCCCGTTTTAACGTTCCATCGAAATTCGAGATACTGCTTTTCATTTTGTATACGCTAGAAAAAAGATCAAGAATATTAAAACCTTTCCAATTTCGGAATTCGTGAGAACACAAAAAAGCTCTCTTCTCTTCCGTTTCTTCTTTTACTTATTTAGATTAATATTTTTTTTTAAATTTTTATTTCTGTTCTGAGCGTTCTATTCTGACGTATGTATATTTCATGCGTGTAAAAAAGGCGACAAAATTGTTTACAGCCTACCTACCCACTACAATATTATTAATCATTACAAATTTATTACATTATACATACATTGCCTCCCGACTTAAGACCCAATTGCGCATTTACGCAGTACTTACTACTTAACGCAACGACGATGACTTTTTCCTCCTGAATTGTCTGATATTTTCAAGCAAGAAGAGATACAATTGGGTCTTACGTTTTTTGCGTTTATTACAATTGCTATAAATATTATTATTATTATTATTATTATTATTATTATTATTATTATCATTATTATCATTATCATTATTACTATTATTATTATTATTATTATTATTATTATTATTATTATTATTATTATTATTATTATTATTATTATTATTATTATTATTATTATTATTATTATTATTATTATTATTTTCATTATTATTATTACTATTATTACTATTATTATTACTATTATAAAAATTGTTATTACTGTAAGAAAGCGTATTATTATTATTATTAATATTATTATTAATATTATTATTATTATTATTATTATTATTATTATTATTATTATTATTATTATTATTATCATTATTATTATCATTATTATCATTATTATTATCCTAAAATTTTTGTAAAAGCATTTTTGTTTCTCGTTTGATTTTTTTTTTGCATTGCGCTTTAGTAGAATTTGAAACACTGACGTCGCGAAGAAACATTTCGGCGAATCCGCTTCGCGGGAATAATAAAATAAAATAAGAAGAAAAGCAAAAGGGAGCAATAGAAGAAAAGAAAAATGAGACGTAATTATTGTATCTCTTGTACGTTCCTCGCCTCTCTTTCTTTTTCTTGCGAGAAAAGAGACGATGGCGATGTCATCTCTAGACAATAAACAAAAATGTTAACTGAGAAGAAAAAAGGAGAAGAAGAAGAAGAAGAGAGCGTCGACAAAAGTGATTCAATGATCTTTTTCAAGTTGTTCTCTCGCGCATGCGTATATCATTACGTACAGGTGCCATAAAAAAAGAAAAAATATTTCCGGTTCGTACCGATCATTTTGTTTCGCTAACGTTTATAAAAGAAAGAAAGAAAGGAAAAAAGATATGAAAATAAGAAAAAAACAAAAAAGAAAACAGAACAGAAGAAAATGTGTTCGCGCAACATGTGAACGACTTATTTTCACTTCGTTGATAAAATAAGTACATACAAGCATTGTTTTCCTTTTTCCTTGAGTTCTACGCGATTTGTTGTCAAAATGACCGCGAGCGACTTGACCGATCGAAGATGCGACTTATCGTTTACACATCAAAAATAGAGAGCATCATACACATATACACACACACGCATATACATGATGTATAATATATCTACGTCAATAATCGATCCGTCTTTTTCTTGAAGACGCGTCTCCGATCTCATCATCGTCGTTGCAATCGCGCGGACTCTTAAAGATAATTTTAGGATTAGTGGTATTGTATTAAAAATATTGTTTAATTCGCAGATTTACAAATAAAGCATGTTGTGAATTTTAATATTTGGATAATCGACTCAGACCGAATACCGAATCTCATTTTTCCCCCTTTTTTCTTTTTTATTTTTTTCTTTCTTTTCTCTCGATTAAAAATGATTATTTTAATATACGTCTTTTAAATATTATAAACTTTTCATTATCTTTATCATATTGCATCTATATAATATTAAAATATAATTGATACAATATCAATGACTTTCAATTTGTATCAATTAATTATTAC